GCAGCCACCGCCCCGTGCCAGCCTCGCGGGATCCGTCCTCTCACGGACCCGCTCCGCGGCCTCCTTCTGCAACATAACCGTTGAAGGAGGCTGCGGCACTCCACTGTTCTCTCCCCTCCAGCATCGCACCCACTACTTACTGGAGGGGAGAGATCCATCCCGACGGCACTCCGAAGGACTTCCCTTTGGGGACCCATCCTGGACACTCTTCCAGCGTATGCAGCTTCATCATGAATGGTCATTCAGGTATGCAGGTCATTAAAATCATACCTATAAATACTGCTCCATCTAATTACAATTTATTAAGGAAAATATCAATACAATTAATGACAGTGAAAATTAATATTAGAATGAGATCAAACAACGACAGCATTAGTATGTATACGTCGTAGTGCAAATGTAACGAAGTCGTAAAAACTATAGACAAAAACAGTATTGTTCTCGAGAAACAAAAACAAGGAAACCATCTCAGATATACTATTTGTACGTTACTCTGTGATAAACGTACAATTTTTCAATCATGAAGAGTACGTTTAATAATTTTTACTCAATAAAAGTATTGATTTCTATACTACATGGGCAAGGCTCAAGTACAAAACGTGACATTTGTTCTAACCACTATGCCATTAAAGTAAAGTTGTATTCAAATTATTATGTAATAAAAAGGATACTCAAAACCATAACAATGTATGTTTCCAAAATAAATTTACCTTGAGAAGAACCATGTATATAACCTACATTTCCACTAGATGATCTATGCACGAATGGTGGTCCTCTAATATGATTCCACATTGGCCCAGATATCGTCATAAGTGTGAAAAGCTATGTTAAAGAAAAGATTTTAAGGTATGTTATTACTTATGTAAATATACCTATATAATAATTATTACCAGTGCACCAAGTCCCTAAATTGTTTTGTTATAAATGAAGTCCAAATTATTGCGTCTCAAATATAAGAATCCTCCAGTTAATACCAGTAACATTATCACTTCTACTGTACCAGAATAGTTTGGAGGCCTGAATACCCTAATCTATAATACATTTTAAATGCTATTATTATTTCTCATCACTAATTATTAGACATCCATATATGTAAATACCTGAATGTCAGTACGTTCACATATCACTTTGCAATTGCTTCAGCTCCAAATCCTACTCTTTGAATGTCCATAGTATCTGCAGGCTTTGGCTTTCCTTTTGATGGAAAATGCATGTATACTGGTGCAGTATTTAATCGCATCTATATATAAACATGTTTTATCATCCCTGTACTTGTTACAATTACATATATAAATGTATGATGTTATGCATACCATTTGGAATACATCTGATCCTTCATCAAAATCTACAGCTACAAAGAACAATTTCTTTGAATGAGATTGTAGGTATCTGAATGACTTTGCTACTATCACAAATTCATCATTTGCATGCATGCTGAAATAAAAATACATAACAATATTAAATAACATCAAATAGAATAAATTGAAATATAATTTAAAATTAACATGCATATCTGACACTGTCTTTGTGGTGCCATAGCAGTAAACATTACGACAACAGAATAATTTCTCGGTGTAGTTTTAACATATTCTTTAAACTTTGCTCCATTGAATTTAAGTACAGATCTTGTGAGAGCTAGCTCAGTTAATTGCTGTTCACGATCTGATAATGAGGTGCCTTGAGTCTGAAATACGTTATTTTTTCTTATATTAAACTCAAGTAGATAGAAATTTTTATTCTTATTTTAAGGTTAAGTAAAATGTTTCAGCGCTAAATGTGATATATTCTATATAAACTAATTATGTATACTAATATTATTGTTTATCAAGATTGTTTTATTAATAAAATTTTATGTAGTACGAATAAAATTAAATGAAAAATTCATTTGACATTTCACAGGTGTGACAGTTATAGAAAATTAAATGAATTCTCACCTTTATTACCCTATATTGGCAACAGACGTAATTTAAGCTTAAAATAAGTCCCAAGAATGCAATATAATTTTTATAATCCATTGCAAACAATATTGTAAAGGAATATGTTACAAAACTTTTCTACCGGGAACAAGTTAGAATAGTACAGTAACGTAGGAAGCTCATTGGTTTATTCTATACAACGTGGCATTTGACGTGTGAATGTTTTGATACGGAATTTTCAAAAATTATTGCAACGAAAAATAAATATTTTGGAAAAATGTATTACTTATGTTATTCAAACTAAATTAATTTGTTTACTGTTGACAAATAAATCTAATGTTTTTAATATTACGCATTGCACGTTTTATGTTGCTAAACACCTCAGACATGTATCAAAAAATTTTTGTACTTGATCTAATTTGTTGTTGCAATTTAGAGTTATAATTTAATGTTTGTGTTTATAGTAAATACATTAAATTTTGTATCAATTACATTCATTAATAATAATATTTTGCAAATATATCTTTACATTAAAAAAATTTATAAAGAAATGTGTTAATTTTAGATAAGTGGCGACTACAAATTTTGCTACGTTACTGATGTCAATATAGGTGTACTGCTACCGGATTGGTTAATTGCGCAACGCGTGCCCGTTGATTCGTTGTTGTACCACTGTTCAACTTGTGTAACCGTCATTTTAAATCAGAAAAGCCGGTGCGTACTTCGTAGGAAGAAATGTTTGGAAGTGAATAGGAAGTAGAGGTAGCAATATTTCCCTCGCATAGGAGGTTCACCGTTCGGGCAGAAAACATGTGTAGCGTATATCAAAAACTGTGTTCCCCTTTAAATTAAAATCCGTTAAAAGTGTTAATCCCAAAGTTACTCTGAACGTTGTTTAGTTTTTGTCGTGTATTGTTGTTTGAATACGTTTTAAACAATGTCGTTTTCAAAAGCCAGGATCCAAAGGTTTAACGAATTTGAAAGTAAGTAAATATAATTTATCGCGCTTCTTTAGTGTACACGGAATATGTGTTATATTTTTTCTAAATGTGTTTCTTATGTTAAGAATAGGTTAATAATATTATCATTCTGTTTGTTATCTGATATTTATCTAAAATCATTTTGAAATGAACAAATATCATATTACCTTTATGTATGATATTTGGCGGGAAATTAATTAAAGATTTTTTAACAAATGTTAATAATATTAATATGAAATATTTTATATTTATATCTACAAATGTACAATATTTGCAAGTTTTATAGTCGGAGTATCTTTTTTTCCTAATATGTTGTCATATGATCGTAGAAATTAACGGGGAAGATAATTTTAATTCGCTTATTCACAAATTTTGTAAATTCCGTTACGTTTTGCAATGAGCTTTCATTGAATTTCATTTACTTTATAGTTCAATAAAATTTGTTTTTTTTTAAATAAAGTACTAAATGCGTTATTGATACATTGTTATTAATTGTCTCATATTGTTTTTATTATATATTAATACGCAAATATTAACTTACTTTCTTATTTATATTTACATATGTGCAATAATAGTAAAAGAAACTATCATGAAAATATTTACAGTATTATAACATAACTGCATAGTAACAGTACTAATAACAATTATAGTAATACTTTATATTTATGATTATTATAATTATACTTCATATATTGTTGTTCTCATTAGAATTCAGCAAACATTGATTTTTATTCTGCAGATTAGGGACACTTTATTAACAAATATATTAATATTTTTAAATAAATGAAGTGACAATAGGGAGTTCGTTACTTTTTACATTATTCATTTACCTCTTATGAATCTAAATTTTATAAATTACAATATAAAAGAAACTCATAATAAATTAATAATGATAAAAAACGAATATGGTAATTGTTATAAAATTTCCAAGAAAAATTTATGTAAGTAAAAAGAATGAAATAACAGAAAAAGTGTTTGAGGTCATTTAATTTTTAAATGTTGCGTGCAAGAATGAGGGTAGGGGGATAAAAGCCGGTACAATGCAGGGTCGATTCGTTGCGAAACTATGAAAAAAGGGGCGGTCAGAACGTTATAGGGTACACCTGGTAATTCTATGACCCCTTAGAGACATGTCTCTTGCATTTAGAAACAGCTGTCTCCCATTTGCGCCTGCTCTTCGTGCAAGATAAAAAGCCTTCCACATGGTTCGACGACCTGTAGTCAGATTCGTCGTCAGATTTTGGAATTTAACGATAAACTTGTCGTGCGTTGCAATCACTGACGATTTTTCTGATCGTTGGAGGAATTTTCATGTGATATACTTCATTGTTGGACTGATTGTTCATGCATGACAATATCATTTGATTTTTCAATTTTATGTAGGACGCTGACGACTAAAGATGCGATACTCTGCGATTATTATTTGTGAGCAAATAATTAGTGCAGAGGTCCAAACATTCCCGAAACGACAATCTTTTATTGGTTCTGTATGTACGGAGCTTTTCCTTTGTCCTAAAAAATTGGAATATCTTGAGGGACTAAACCTATGAAAAAAATGTTTGATCAAAAGTTGTTTGGTATGAAGAGGGACATTATGGTGCAAATTATTTTTTTACAGGTCAAGTTCATTTTTTTAAATGGAACCATGTTTTTTTTTCATGTTACGATAGCATTTGTTGAAACGGATTCAACAACTTGCTATATGAGGTAATTTATTGCTGTAAAATTTTATAAATTAAAATAAATTTGTTTTTCTTTAATTTGTCGTGAACCCGGAGAGGTAGAATTTCGTTTTTGATAACTGTTGAAGCATTCGAAGTGCCCGCGTGTGGAGACCCCAGAGAACACGCGTGGCTTGCGCAGTTCCGGTCTCGAGCTTTCGTGTACGGTCGTAGCTTCACGTTACATGTAAAATATATCGTGCTGTGTTTTAATACCTTCTTGGTTGCTTTCCATTCGACCACCTCGCATAATTAACAACCCAACTTTTTTCTCTGTTCGAAAATGCGTGCGTGAGGGTAGATATAACGTCGGTAAAAATTACTAATGGTCGTTTCTATTGTGAGGATATGGGTACTGTTAGAAAGTACTCTAACTCGGAGTAGGGTGGGAATAAAATTAATTAAACGTTTCTACGTTCTCGCAACAGTGTATTTTACACGAAGACTATTTCCGCGTTGCCTGAGTGTCGTTCGCAAAAACTACGCGTTCAACGGTCTTCTGAAGAGTGTGTACCCATCGTCCTGCCGATCCCTGTCCACCCCTATGCCAACAAGCCCAGGGAAAAGCTCAAAAGGGCGAGTCGTCCCCACCGAGCGCGCCGGGCCTGGTTTCAAGGTGCTCGCTTCACCGTCTGCAGGACGGATTTTCTCACAGTACATGGTACCATTTAAAAAAATGAAGTTGTCTTTGAAATTTCCTCTCTCCACTCGACCTGTAAAAGATAATTTATTTCATATAATGACCCCTTTCATAGCAAACAACTTTTGTTGAAACATTTTTTTGATAGGTTCAATCCATCACAAGATATTCCAATTTTTCAGGATAAATGAAACACCCTATATGATTGCATTTTTAGTATATAAAATGAATAAAAGTAAAAATTTGTATAAATGACTATTAATAAAGTAAACATTACTTCTAAATAATTTGTTTTTGATACTTTTTGTTTTGTTTACTTGGAAAATAATAGAAAGATATGAGAAATTAAATTTTTAATCAG